GTACCCTAGAGACTGGCAGGGACCCACAACAAAAACCCTTCACTGATCATCCAAAAAAAAAAAAAAAAAAAAAAGACCCAACAGACAGAGAGAAAGCAGAAGGTAAACATCTGACATGCAGGAGTATGATGGGAGAGGGAGTGAAAAGGGGGTGGGGTGAGAGGGAGAGGGAGTGAAAAGGGGGTGGGGTGAGAGGCCTGCTTCACCTTCTCCACTCTCAATTCATGGGAATTACATTAGCTGGTCCTCTCCTTAGCAATCTCTCAGAGGACGAGCTAAAAGCCCCATCAATCTGGTACGGCACGCTCCCTTTTGTACAGTAATGATGCAGAGAGCCAGGGGGGTCTTGGTAAATCACTCCGTCTCTCTGACGTTTATATCACAATCATGCAGGGCAGTGTGTTTCCAAACAAAGCCTGGTGAGCAGCCGGCGTTTCCTTACACCGGAGTGAAGTCTCTGTTCAGAAATGCACAAATTGGACAAGGGAGATAACATGGCGGTGAGTCATATGACCGCACTGCGTTCCTCGGGCTCCCACAACCGCACTGGATCCAAAAATAAGCCACTCCCTGGACAACAGCATCCAGCCCCATCCACTCCTGGCCTCACACTTCCAAATTTCTACACGGATGGGACACGGGAACGGATCATACGCTTTCCGTGCTCTTCCGTGACCCTGTCACCAGGGGTGATCATCATCTAAATCTGAAGCCGGTGAAAGCGGAAGACCCTCTCTCACCGGACAGAACCCCCGGGTGGACATCAGGCTCCTCCGAACAGTGTCATAAGGGGTCTTCTTCTCCCAAGCAGAAGCAGCACTCAGTCATCCCAGGGGGACGTGTGGCCACAGGGAGACTGTCTATAGCTATCACAACACACATTAATGCGATGCTTCTAGCCCAAGCACTGATGGGGGCAAGAAACAGAGAGAGTTATTTCTGTAAGTCAATGAAAAAGCCCAGTTCTTCTCTTCCACTGATCCCTGGAGAAGCCCAGAGAGTAAAACCATCAGAGGACTGAACACCCCAGCAGAGAGTCCATGAAACAAAACCATGAACAGTGCCTCAGCTGATACAGCCCAGACCCAGCAGCAGTGCAATCCTGCCATATGTTACAAATTATCTCATGCTTTAAAAACCATTAGCCTTCTTGGTTAAAGTACTTCTATACTGCAAAAGAGATTGTCTTTCACAGGAAATGCATGTGCACCAGCTAACATATTGTTTATGAAACCACAGTAGCTGTTTAACTCGCCGGCACAAAATTCTGTCTTTGTTTTGCACTTTCAGGCTCCTCATTGGCTGACGTGCAACCACCTGATTAGCTGTTTAACAGTGGATTGGCTGCCATAAGACCCTATCAGAATGGATAAGCAGCTCACCACTACCGGGCCACCCATGCCCTGTTGACATTAACTCTTCACTGACCGGCACCTGACCTCCATCAGAGTATTATTATTGCTTCCAACCATCTGAAACGGATCCCACCCAAGCTCTCAGTGCAATGCTTCTGGTACAAGAAGACAGGATGTGCTCTGGTAAGCATCACATAGGTCTATGTCCCGTAGAGTGAAGCCCAGTGAGAAGTGAACCCCCCCCACCCCCTCCACAGCAGAAATGCGTAGCGACAACAGAAGCATGTAAATGATCACCTACGTGAAAGAGAAACAGAATCGGGAAGCGAGATGGAAACAGGAGATACTTTCATGATGAATAGCCCTGCGCCGACTTCACTGGACCAGCTGCTTACTTACAAAGTGCTTCTTCTGAAATAGCAAACGCAAAGGAGCCCCGTCCCAACCCAAAATAGCACACACACACCAGCCCGATCTGTGCCGACTTCATCTGCATCCATAGCCTCACACACGGCAATTAGATTCCCGAGAGAAAAGAACTGCCTTCAAAATATATACAGTATGAAAGGGGGAGAAAACAATATTGGTAATAAAGTTAATGTATTTACGTAATGACCAGTCACCCACTGGAATGCAGTGGGCACTGTCACCACGGCGATGAAGCTCCAGTGAAATCCACATCCCCCGCAAAATGAGATTTGAATACTTTGTCTCACCGAGCAGAAAACAAACAGGCTGAAAAGGGGAGGAAACAAAGGAGGCAGATTTCGGGGGTGGTCTCTACGACGACAGAACGGCACCTCCCCCCCCCCCCCCAAAAAAAAAAAAAAAAACAAAACAGCGGAGCTGTCCGCTGTGGCAGGCGAGAGGCCCGTGACAGGTATTCACATGGACATCTGCAGGTCTGTCACAGGAAACACTGGCGGGTGGGAAGGTGGGACATGAGGGAGTTAATCTGTGCCCCCCCCCAAGGGGTGATAATTACCTGCACAGGGATTAAGAAGAAGAAGAAAAAAGAAATGAAAAGAAAAACCAGCTGTTGCCAAGAAAAACAAAAAAACATTTTCATGAAGGCCTCCTTTCATTAAGAAGCAGCGCCTTCACACGTGCGTCTGTAGCGCTTTGTGTCTCTGCTTCTCAGAGTCTCTTCAGACGCACATTCCAGGGATGCCACCAGAAAAAAAAATAAGCTTTTTTTTTTTTTTTTTACTTTCAAAAGAGCCAAAATGCTTCCGTTTGTAGCTAGGTTACAAGCCATTCGATAAATTTATGCAAGGATCACTGAGAGACTAACATGGGTTTGCGGGTATACACACACACACACACGCGCTCGCACACACACACACACACGCGCGTACACACGCGTGCACACACACACACACACACGCGTGCGCGCACACACACACACACAAAACTGTTCAGGAGTAACCAAGCTTCACTGCTCTCGTCTCCAGGGCTCCAATGTCACCCACAGGCCTTGGGGGCATCAGAGCAGGTGTCAGGTTCAGTTTCCAGGGGGTCTCCTTCATTCCAGCCTCTTCCTGCATTTTAATTGAACCAATTAGAACTTCATTATCTGAACTGTTTACACTTACAAAAGGCCCTAATATACTCCTGAAGACTGATGAGATGGTGTGTGTTTTTCTGATCTACTAAATAAGCATTTAACTCGGGGGGGAACCCTGCATATGTTAAGCTCTTTGACAGACAACAAAGCCATTAATGTCTTGTTTTGACAGAGCAGACCCAGACAATACAGCGATTAATGCATCTCCAGCGCCGCCTTCCCCGTACGCCTCATGGTCCACGTTTCCAACCTCCCCGTTCTCTCTCCTATTGTATCGGGGACAATGGGGAATAGATGATCATGTTGACTATGCGCCAGTCCGATTTCTGCGGTGTGTAACACCTACATACACCATGGAACAGCTACAAATCCATTACATCCTGCCACCCCAAACCACCAACCACCTCATATTGTGTCTTGCCCCATTTTATGATGATCATTTTTTCCCCCACTCGTTGGATACCAGTCAAGGTCATCGGCAAACTGGGCAGCAGTGGTTAACCATGACAGTCAGAGCTGGATACTGAGCCAACTTGACTCTCTGATACAGAACTACAAGGGGATGGGGGGGGGGCTTTACCAGTTCCACATCTATTCCAAAACGCAAGGCTGATAATCTACAGTCACCCCCCTCCAGAGTTCTGAAAATCCCTGTGATATGCCCTCACCCTCCCAAAAGACATCAAGCCTCACAGGATCAATGGCGCATTCTCGCCAACAGAGCGAGATCAGAGAAGGAGGCCTCCTGAGGTTGGGTTAACGAGAGCCGAGAAGAGATCCAGCTCTTACCCGAAGCGCTGCGGCACATTCCTGGCTGAGAATTCGTGTCAGAGATTACCGACAACAGGCAGGCTAACGTGGCTGAAAAGCGCAGCTCGGGGGGGTCACCTGATCTCTTTACGAGCGAAGGAAAACAAAAAGTGCTGATCGTACACTCCCAGGCCAACTACACACAAGTGCACTCATGTATCTGTTCAGGGAAACAAAGCAGAGAAAAGAACACAAGAGTATTACTGACAGACATGTTTCTGGGACGAATTAGCTGTGATTTCGGACTCGGAGACGTACAGAGGGCGCAGCTGGCTTTGGGGGGAGATGGAGACAGGAGAAAGACAGCTTGGAGGAAGAGCAGAGATGCCAACAGCCACGTCACAGCCGAAAATAACAAAGAGCTCCAGCTCCCCTCAGCACAGCCACCTGCCTCCGCATTTCTGCGGCCTGCCAGCGAATCGCCACGGGCCACCGTGTGGACCGGCAAGCTCACAGGGCCTCGGCTCTGTCACCCCAGCCCCGTGACCCCCGGGGGGTGGACAGGTAGTGGGCAAAACATCCCCTGGAAATATCTCAAAAATCTGAATTATTCAAAGCAGGTTGGGCGTGGCGTGCGTATCTCAGTGATCAAATAAGTACCATCTGGGTTGAATGTCGACTCCGGCTTGGCAAATCAATAACTAACCAACCAACTGAACAAAATGGCCGTTTGCTTTGCAGTCCCACCTTCCGCTCCGTCCCATTACCACCATGTCACTCAGGGCGGAGTCTCCCCCGTTCGGGTTGGTACCAGCTACCGCCGCCTTCGTAGGTACAGCCCGGTCTTGGGAAGAAACTTATCTCCAGTTCTCTCTCTCTCTCTAACTCACCACCCCCACCCCCCCCGACTGAACATGGCTCCCCCCCGTTCTACTTGATTCTTCCTCTCACTCTGACTCATAGTTCAATGCCAGCATCTTCACAAGCTGAAATACATTTTTATTGCCCAAAAATAAACCCGAACAATTAAAAGCAGAGAGAGGCTATTAAGGAGGGCGCGAGGTAAACGAAACCCCCCCCCCCCAAATCTGCAGCTCTGAGTGGACATGAGGTGACTGAAAGGGACATGTGACCTCAGTGACACCGCTTCAGCAATATTTGCAAGTCAAATGGCCGTTAATCTGTTCAGTTATGCTAACCCTGTCTAATCGCCCATTCTCCCAACTACAAACATGGAATTCATGGTGGAATGCGACCAGTAGCAATAGCATCAGCATCCTACGTGACGCCAATGGGAATCCCCCCGACCCCCACCCCCCCACGCTTACCTCTCTTCTGCACTATTAACCGCAGCAGCGGGGCAGCAGACGACAGGGCCTTGTGGTAGTTGTCGTCGTTGTTGATTGGCAGCAGGTCGCCGTGCACGTCCACGTAGCCCAACAGCACATCCACACCGGGGATCCGGTGCACCGACTGCAGCAGCCGGTAGAACTCCTGGAAGCCGCCGGCTCCGGATCGCTTCAGGGCGAAGCGCCGGTACTCCGCTTCGAACTGCAGCGGGGCGACAGAACATCGTCAGCGACGGCATCGGCAGGTGGGCGGCTCAGCTGAAGCGGAGGAGCCTCTTACGCTGCACTCTGTCACTCATTACGGCTCCATTACACTCTGCCGTTGTCACCCTCAGGAAGCACATTCCAAGCATTCACAAGAGCTAAAAAGAAGCTAAACCTCAAGCACAGCAGTGCACTAACTTGGCAACGGTCATGGGTTCGAATCCCACAAAGTACTCATAAAAAATGCATCTCTTCACTCTACTGTAAATTGCTTTGGATTAAAGAATCAGATTAATGAGAAAATGTAAAAAAATATATATCTCTCCATGAGGCTGGACGCTCTGTCTTCTCTGCAGCCACGGGGACACAATCACTGATATCCGTTTATCAGTCATGGTTTGGACTTCAAACTGACTGTCGCGTTATTTTGAGTGTGCGATTCCTAACTGCTGGTTAGGAACACCTGTCATGCGATGTGTAAAAGGCTCTGCCTAAAACAGGAAGTGCGGAGGGTCACGGATGAGCTGATGTGGTTAATACGAATTAGAGAGGAACGGGGGAGTTAGGTGGAGGACAGATATTAGGTGATCAGGGCAGATCAGAAGGTTACAGCCCTGGCAGAAGGGGACAGCAGTGAAGCCTGGGCTCCCCTTTCATCTCACATTGAGGCAATTGATGTCGTCCTCCACTGGGACACCATCCATCAATCATACAGAGAGACTGATGGGGTCGACACGGAATTACGAAGCAACCAGGGCTGAACCTTGCCTGTTCAGGGAAGGGACTGACATTCATCGCCTCATGGCTGGGAATCTTCCCAAGGTGCGTATCCACGACCTGCTTCACCTAACCTCACGTCTGCGTTTGCTAAAGATGTTTCCTAGATGAACTGAACTGCATCTCCTTCCTCCATCTCCCCCTGCCGCCCTCCCGACTTCGTAATTCCAGTCCTCATCATAACAAAAGAAAAATGGGAGTGGTGGGAAAATCTGAGGGTATCCTTTCCCTTTTGACAGCCAATGTTCTCATATTATAGCCAGGGCCAAACTGCACTGATTATATATAAACAGCACGTTTACACATGAATGAACACATACTGTCTGAATAACTGCAAAACTTTATATTCTTCAAGACTTCAAGACTTCTTATTGTCATTGTACAGTTGCCTGGAAAACGAAATTAGCTAGCAAGACCACAAAGATGCAAGAAAGTGTCAGTACAAGATATAAGTTCTCTTTTCTTCATGCATTATCACATTAAAATCATCATCTCCCACTGAGCAGCAGCTCTCTGTGCAGTTTCAGACACAGGACTGAATGGAGATTACAGCTTCCCGAAACGAAAGGCACGGGAATGAGCTGAAAAACTAAGTGAATGTATAGAGTAACGTGATTCCCTAATACAGCGTCACACCGTCCAACTTCAGTCTCTTGGAGGGAATGAATCCCGGGGTTAAGGCAGAAATGAGGGGCAACACTAGCCCCCCCTCCCCTATCTCAGTTATTTATTCCGTTCAAAAAGTCTCAGCTGTCGTAGAGGCGGGCTGTGAAAAGGAGAAAGCGGTGAATCACCACAAGTAGGGGCCACGGTGAAACAGTGTCACTGAAACAGAGTCAAAAAACATACGGCCATGTTAGAATGGAGGACCTCGTCAACACCGTCAAGACGGTAAACAAAAAGGTCTCCGTCACAAGCCGGCCCAGGACAGAGCGGATTTCCTGCGAGATCCTTTCCCATCCAGCCGCAACGCACCTGCCTGCAGAAAGCTAATGAAATTTCACACCTCACCAGCTCCCTGTGACAAGCACGCCAAGCAGGAAGGATTAACAATGGCGTCCTATTGATTTTTTTAATCAACATGCAGAAAGTCACATGACATTAGAGAGTGAAGGCCTAAAGTCAGACCCAAAAAGAGATAAGCATCAACCTGATGCTTACATTAATATTTACTTTCTGCAGTGTGCCCACTCTGCTGTTTGTAAAGTCGCCCATGGAGAATTCGTTCTGCAAATAATACCCTAAAATAGCAGAAGTTGAGTGTAGCATCAGCTGATAACAGCCAGTGCTGTAACAATACACGGAGCACTATTATCTGGCCGTGCAGGACGCGCAGTCAGGGATGGAGAAGGAACAGTGATAAAGCGTTAGAGTGAAAATAAAATGTTCCAGAAGCACAGGGTGGGACTCAAACACACGGGTGGGAGTAGCGCCCTAACCAAGGAGGAATGCATAAAAACGATATGTAACAGACAGACCACAACTTCTCCCAAAATATAACACGTTAGCCTGTTCGCATCATAATTCACGTCATGTGATTGTCACTCGGCAATAGCGTAAACAATACAAGAATAATAAACAGTACGATACCTGTTCGAATAAAGCTAACAGTTTTAATTTGTATAATTACCCTTATTAATGAATAGTACAATTTACAAAATCCATGTGATTATTATGTTTCGTTGTTGCTATGTCGCATAAAATCATTATCACTACTATTTTTTATGCACTTCTAGGTGTTTAACGTTAAATCAAACGGAAACCAACTAGAGATCTAGAAATTGCGGGCGGACAAAAATAATTTGTTCGCCAAAGTTTATAAAGGATAATCGGGAAAGTCAATGGGATATTATTATCGCTCCCGAAACCACGATTTACGGGAGTATAAAGGCACGGCTGCCTTAAGTGCCTTGAGTGCACGACGATGTGAAGAATGGTTTGCTGCAACATTAACGCCAAGCTCTGCTTTTATACACTAATCACGGCCGCTCGATGATAATGTTTCCGCGAGATTAAATTGAGCCAAATTAAACACGCGTCGCTTCTCCGCACCCACAACAACATTATTAACCATTAACAGGAGAGATCGGACGCAGCGCCCCGGACGAACGCATGTCATCCGCCTGGCGTGTTTACCTGGTAAATCCTCGGGTATACTGCTTAAGTACCAGACGGAAGAACCGCACACAGACGCATGCGGATAAACACAAAACAAGGAGCGCCGATATTTACACACACACACACACACACATCTTCTTCTGCTCAAAAGCACAACGGTTGCACTGCGACAGCTTACAGACTAGACAGGACGCCAGCGCGCAGCCGTTTTCTTAATCATGGTTATGGTGCATGGCAGCTTTCCCATCTACACGGCGGAAAGCGCCGTCATGTGCCGCCGCGCAGGTGTGGGGAGGTGAAGCCAAAAGACAGCGAGTCTGCGGGTCCGTCCCAGGGCGACCCGATAACTATCACGTAAGACCGTCACTTACTTTACTCTTGACTTCGATAAGGTTGTCCGCGTTTCGTAAAGGGGTCCTCTGATGCCTTGACATTTTGCCCGGTGGTATAATTCCGCAGACACGACCGTGCACCGATCCAACAAGATCGAGTCCCCGCCCCCCGGCTTGAGTCGTCGGCAGCGTAAAATCGTCGCGCATTCACTCGCTCCAGCCCGCGGACACACACAACACTGCAATCCGCCTGCCGTAGTGCCAGTATTATGGAAACCGATTCCTGCGGGAGCGCGTCTCATCTAGAGGGGCGGGGCTTATGCTTTTCTACGGCAATGACGTCAGCGGGGACACGCCGCTCGGGGCGGGGACGCCAGCGCCTGACATCACCTGAAACGTTAGCGCGCCGTTGTCGTGGAAACGAGAGGCTGGAAACAGGTGGAGCGCGCGCGGCTGACTCGCGCGTTGCCTATTCACGTAACGCGCGTTATTTTGGGTAATACGACTATGACATCATCTGTAAACTATGGCAGGGAGAGGATTTCGAAAATAGTATCAGTGTTGCGTTTCTGAACTGTAAAATTATTTTCACAATTGAGTAACAGTTTGCGTGCCTTTAAAAACTCTACGTTGTTAAATCTACTGCATATATACTTGCTCTTAATATAACATTCATAAATAATAAGTCTCAAAATTCCTTCTTTTTTGCGATGGACTGGTGTCCCAATCCTAATGTTCATGATTTATGTTCATCCTAGGACAGGCTCCAGTAAACCTGTAATGAAGACGTCTGAGTGAAAATGTTTCTGTAGAAAAAGTTAAATCAAGAAATGAGTGAATGATAAAATGTGATTCTTCATCAGATGAGAAATTCTATTCGATATATTTAATTTTTGCAGTGTTCATTTTTAACATAGATGTGTTAAAACCCTTAGAAAAGGTTTAGCAATAATAGAATAAGTACGTTTAAAATAGCTAACCCATCCGTCCATTTTTACGCCAATTCAGTAAAGGGTTGTGGTCATGACAACAGTACATGTTATATAATTTCGTCACAGCAGAAGATATCTGAGGAGACATGAAAAAATGCCTATAAAAAATAACGCCCCCATCCCCCCTGGATTGGAAGGTCTAAATGTACCGGAAATTGATCAAATAACTGACACAAAATGGGTTCTAACCTTTAAATTACTAAGTACAGACACAGCTACAAAGGTGAGTCAAATTCAGAATTGTTCTCCAACTATAAAACTGTCTGTCAGTCAGCATTTTCATGTGTGAAGAGGGGCAAACAACCAGAGTATCAAACAAAATGAAGTCAGTAACCATATTGCAGGTTTGTCAGTCAAAAAGGTGAAAAATAATTGAACTCAAAAATAATCTATACTGACACACAGGAACAGTGATCTCAAGTCAAGGCTCACTGACACGGAAAGACAGATATTTGATAATCATCACAAAATGAATATGAAGCCGTTTAACAGAATCAGGTGCCCCATATGTTTCAAACACTCCCTTCATAATGTGCTCAGTTTCCACGACGATAGAGACCCTATACACACTGCTAAGCAAATGTATCAGTAGTTTCATAAACACGAAGCCAAATGTCCTCCTCAATCATCAGATTTAAACATCATTAAACCTTCATGGGAGATTCTCCGGCACAGAGTGCAAAGTAGATTTCCACCTCTTTCATCCCTCAAAGAAATGGAAGCTTTTCTTCTTGAAGAATCATCCAATATCCCTCTGCACACAGCTCAGGACTCATGTGGCGGTGCTCCAGGAAGGTTTGGAGCTGCTCTAAAAGGTGACATGCTGTTTTTAGGCTCTGTGATATTAATATATTATTTGGCATTTTTCTTATTTTGCACATATATAAAACAACCATTTAAACAGCAGCACATAACTGAATTCTGTCATAATAAATAATACACATTTCCTCTAATATCCTGTAAATTCTCCTGGTGCAATTGTGCTTTTAATTAAATTACCTTTCATGATTTAAACACAGTTTTCAGTGATAAATAAAAATAAATAAATAAAATGTCTCATTTTTGACACTTTCTCCTGCCGAGACACACAGACACATACACTCACATACACCGGTTTGTAATTATATCTTTGTGGGGACTCTCCATTCATTTCTATGGGGAAAACTCACAACATGATGACCTTAAAACACTGAATCGGCCTGCATGAGCCTCTGTAACATGATTCTGCGTTATTGGCATTGAGGGCCCACAAATCCTCCCACTCCAGCCTCTGACCGAAAACCCTGCTCCATGGAAACCGCCTTTGGTGTGTAACAGGAGTAGGAGCGCAGCACTCCGAGCGGCCATGTGCTAATAGGCTAGGGTGAGATGGTGATTCCCTTTCAAGTGTAGCGATAGCAGCACTTCCTACAATACAAAAGAAACAATGAATAGAGAGACCTTCACTTCCACCTGCTTTGATGCTGCTTGGATTCTCCAGCATAACTCTAGCATCTCGCTAACATGAGGAGTCCTAGTGAACCAGAGGACTAACCTGGAAGCCATGATAGTTGGTACTCAGTACCGAGAGACACTGATCAGTCATTTTTGCTGTGCTATTGTGGGGAGGGGGGGGGGGTTGCATTCCTGCTGGTTTCTCTCTCAGGATCTGCCTCCCCCCCCCTTCTCAGGCCCCATTCCTGGCCAGCTGATGAAACTTACAGGAATGGCTGCAAGACAGCAGCGCCCCCGCCCCCCACCCCCCTCAACCCCTCTCAGGAGCCAAACCTCAGCGAGATCTTTGATCTCTGACCTGCTGTCAGACAGCAATTTCCTGAGCGACTCAAAAAGTTAATACACAAAGTTTTAGTAATCATTTCATAACTGTTTATTAACCTGTCAGTTCTGTGCCCCCACCCCAAATATCCGGCTCATGTGCCTTCATGTCGGCACTGGCTGCTTGGATCTCCACCCCTGCATATCCTCATTGCCATTTTAGAGGGAACCTCTCACAGGTGCAACTAAATCAAATGGCTTCCCGTTTACCTACTGGAACCAATTCTTGTACGTGAGCGATAACAAAACTATAGATTGTGAAATGTTCCTTTCACTGGCATTTGAAATTAACTTGAGGGAACAATGTATAGGTGTCCTGTGTTAGCAAAATGCGATTCGCTTACAATAAATAACGTGACAAGCAGTGTATGAAAAAGGAGGATGAGACCTTGCGAGTGCAACTGATGTTGTTAACAAAGAGCGTGCGCCATGACATGCTTCAGTAGCAACGCTTATTGTTTTAAACATTCCTGATGATCATTCCAGCCATAGCCCTGTCATGCTTGTATCTCAGAATGCGCGCTATGGCTGAAACGATTAGTCACATGGAAACTCATAGTAAAGGCACCTGTATGTACAGTGCTGAGCTCTACAGTCTTGTGCAATAATGAGGAAAATCAAGAGGAACAGAAAGCTCTATTGGGTTGGGGGGGGTGGGGGGTGTAGCAATGTGGCTCGACTGGCCCGTCTGCTCGGGGTTCTGCATTCCCTCAGAGCTCCTCACCTCTCAGCAGGTCCTCCAGCTCCGTTCCCTCACCTGCCTCCAGCAGCATTCCTGCAGGCTTAGTCGCCGGATTCCTGGCATATCTGCCTGCAGAGCGCTCCGTACTCCCACATACCTTAACTAAACAGATCAGATGTTTGGAGGCTGGAGACAAAGAGGGCATGGAGCAAGAGGCTTTCTCACCGAGACTCATGTCAGTGGAGTGAATGCTGCTCAATGGGGGTTAGATTGAAATAGGAACGGGAATGGGAAGGGGGGGGGGCAGTATCAGGTCTTCAAAGACAAAACTGTATCAATTTGTGGCAATAGCTTGTTAGCACTTGGCGTTGGCTGACAAACACTTTGTAAAGTTCAGCTACAGCTTCTACCCCGAACACATCGGGACACTGAATACCCTGCTGCTGCCCCCCTACTCCTACCTGTCCCTGAGAATACTCACCCCCCGCCTGACTGGCACTGCTCACTTACCACATATTATTATTATATACTAAATATTATACTTATATACTATGTATGCAAACCCCTGTGTCCAGCCCCCCTGTTTTTGCCCTGTGTTTTACACTTTTCCATCCTGTGAACCCCCCCCCGTCACTGCTGTTGTATGTTGCACCCCGGTCCTGTGGGGACACTATTATACACTGTTATACACTGTATACCTGTATTTGGATGGTATAACAGTAAAGCCCACTTGACATAACTTAACTTGTAAATGCAGGTGAGGCACATTGCCGGATGTATATGGCTTCTGTATTCCCAAACAGCAGTGATGTCATCAGGTCACAGGAAGGGGCTGAATATCTTCAGGACAGCAGCCGGTCTCGGGCAGGTCGGCGACAGCGCGCCCCTACCCCCCTTCGCCGTTCCCGTGCTTCCATTCACCAATGGGGTACGTTCATTAAGCGTGCTCAGGCAGCGGGACTCGCTCCGGTGATCCTGGGCACACGCATGTTTGCTTAGTGAGGACAACAACCTCGCTTTGCTTTTCTGAAATGCGAAACCTACAAGCGGAATTTCACCAAGGAATGTTTACTTGTTTGAGGATGGTGAATGCCAGTGTTTGTCTGATGTTTAGTTTATGAATCATGTGTCCAAGCTTTCAACTTAAAAAAAATGCAAGGCTTTTTGTTTTAATATTTTTATAAAACGACAACACTATCCAAATATTTACAAAGAGGAAACTCTTCAGGGTAGATTATTATAAACAAAATATTCTATTTCTACTCAATACATGTCAAGTTTACTTACTCTTCTGTGTTATTTTGCTAATTACAATCTTTCCAGAATTGGTCTTGGTGTCTCTGGTAAGATAAACTCATAATCAGGGATGGAACTTAGTGTCATTTTTTTCTATTTCAGTTAAATTTAGTGCAACATGCAGTTTTTTTCCAAAAAGTGAGATAGTGTTACATTTTTTTGTCCTTGCTCTGCATTTAAATTATTCACCTCGGGCTTAATTTCTCGCCCTGCCCATAATTGAGAAAGACTTTCAATCAAATTCCATTTTACCTGTAAATGTGTTTCATCCATTACACATTCACTCCCCTAATAAATGAACACATCTAACATCTCCTAAATGTCATGGTATAAATGTGTTATTTTGCTTATGAACTACAGTAACTGACATTCCGCCATTTTACTCAGTATAACTGCTTTGGTTGGTGCAAGTATTAGGACACTTAACTCCCATTACAAAAAGCAACAAAGCAATTTAAATGGAATATGACTTAAATGGGATTTTCAGTTCACGGTCATTTGGAGTGACCCCCCCCCC